AGCAGGCTTCAGTAGACAGCATTTCCTATTTTGTGATGAAATGTAACTCAGATTTGATCTCTTCATCATATTAAAAATATCATTAGAGTTTCTTTTGAAGCACTGGGAGGGGGTATGTGGGGGAGGAGAAATCTAGTAAACTGAATGTAAAGATTGCAAATGTTCCCAGGCATTGCCAGCTGGCTATAGATTTTTCTTGGCTCTTGTTGCAAGCCCTTTTGAACTATAGGAAATGCAAAGGCCCATGATGGCCCCATAAGCAAATTCTTTGAGTGAAAGGATAACACTGTCAAAACGCTTTATGGTTTTTACATCAACTAAGCTACAAGTAAAGGTGGATTTTTGTGGCATAAAAATACGAGGTTATGTGCTTTGCAAAAGACTTTAGACCTAGTTTACCTTCATTCACAGACTCCCTTGTGTGTTTGTGTCAGTGATCCTGTCAGACAAGTCCCTCTGTCCCTTGACAGGCATATTGAGTGCATGCCTGCAATCTGGAAAGTGAGTTGATGCCATCTGGTCAAGTGCTAATGAGGCTGCTGGAATGCTGGTGTCAAATGTTACCTTAACCTAAGCAGACTCCATGTGAGATGATGCTAGACTTTTTCCTATACCTTTCATATACTGGCACAGTTGACCTCTGAATGTGTGATTCCTTGCTGAGTTTTATCATCTGGTCTGGGTGAAAATGGAGGGCATTCTGTACCAAGACCCTGTGCAGCAGTAGTATGTGGGTGGTGTCAATGTGAAGAGACAGCCATGTATTGAAGAGTACGAAAAGACCAGTTCGTACGTCACCCCAAATGAGAAACAAGGGAAGGCTTTATGTCTGTTAGGTGCTCTTGAGACTTCCATCTGATATTAGAGCTTTAATTGTTTATTTCATATGCAGCCTTTCACAAATGTCTTCAACTATTTGTTTATGCAAGCCTATTCCCTGGTGATTTTCATTTGAAAAGGTTTGTAGGTGTGTCACAATTCTGGTGTGGCAGAACTTGCTTGAAGTTTTGGATGGTAAGTGCTTAACCTCTCTTGTATTAATATGGTAATACATGATAGCATCATGTCTGAGTAGCCCCCCTTGAGTGTAGGTGGGAACAACTGGTGAGTTTTAGTGTGTGAAGGAAATCCTATCACTCCTGCATTGTGGACTGAAATAATCTATTTCCTATGCTTTTGTTTTTCCTGAATTTTTTAAGTGGGAGGCCTGAGTTTTGATTCTTGGTTATATTTGGAAGTCAGAGCAATGCCCAGAGCTAGACTTTTTCCACTTTGTGGGCTGTGCTATCTCGGCCACTAGAGGTGTATCAGAATGGCAGAGATAAAGATACTGATTACAGAAAGTTATGAAGCCTCACAGATAGAAGGCTGGTGGTCAGGCTGTGGAAGTGTGTTTCCCTCTCCTCCACAGGGCCCTGACTGCAACATTGATCAGTGCCAATGCTTGACTGCTTTTGTTAACAAAGTGACTTTGCTCTGCCCCTTGCTCCCTGCCTTAAGAGTGCTTTTGTGAAAAACCTGCATTGTTCTGAGAGCAATAGAAAAGTGACATGAAATGTCTTTGTACTCGTGCTCTGTTCCCTGCAGAGAGCAACAGCTAAAGGATCTTATTTGTCTTGCCATCTAGAGGATAAAGTTTGTTGGATTTGTTACAGTCTGAGTTCAGGTATCCCCTCCTCTATCTTCCAGTTACTGTTACTCTTTCTTATTTTCAGGAAGATCATTCCTATCCTAACAAGCATTCGCTGCTAGGTGTTGCTAACTGATGAATAGCTGAGTTTTTTGATTATTGGATATCGAGTTAATATGCCTTGGCTAAGTTGTGTTCTGTGCCTGGAGCAGCAAAGATAGAATTAACTCCAGGCACTGAAGAGAATTTCAATTTCAGAGGTGAGGACTAATAAAAAAAAACACTACTGCTGCAGTGAATGCTGCTTATAAATTGTATGCAAAAAAAATGTTAGTGCAACATCACTAATGAAGATGAAGGCCAGATTTTGCACAGCTGCAAATAATTCCTGTTCCTGCTGTGTCTGCACTGATCATTCCCACCATACATCCCACCATACATACACATTGCACAGGAGAGGTGGTAAGGATAGCTGCTGGTGTCTACCTGCCCACAGAGGGGCAGTGGTGCTGGGGCTGTGCTAAGGAAAGCGGTTCCTATGGGTATCTTCATAGGGATAGATCTACAGACTGGTTTTTACCAGAGATACCTTAATGTTTATTAATAAAGTTTCCTATTTGTGTGGCTAAGCAGTTACTGTTAGTGAAGCCAGAGGGAATGGCACACATCATTACATTGTCTGGATAGCAGAGGAGGGGTTGCGCTCAGTGTGGCTGTGTGCAGGTCTGTACCATGGAAGAGTCCTGCATCTCCTTGCCTCTTCTGGGAGTATTTTGGGAGTGCCCTGGGAGGCCTACTAAGGGCTGGTTAGAGAGGCAGCCCTTACTTTTAAGAACCAGAACAGCATTTGTGATGGCCTGCAATAAACTGAGCTCCAGCAATTGAACTCAGATATTGATTTATTAGGGAGTTTGGACATTGGAAATTTTCATGCCTTGGGAATATCTGACTGGGAATGTTGCTGATACTATTGAATGCTTTGCTAAACCAAAGGGAGAATCATGTGTGGCTGGAACACTTGCTGGTGAAGACTTAGGCAAAAAAATTGTTGAGTACTTTGGCCTTCTCCCAGGTAAGAAGGTATCCTGTTTCCTTGCAGAGGAGACCCCACATTTTCCTTTTATCACTGATGTACCTAAGGAAGGTTTTCTTGTTGCATTTGACATCTCCGACCAGATTTTCATTTTTAATTCTCTCAGGGCTTTAGCTTTCCTGACATGATCCCTGGTTACTCAGACAATCTCTGTATTCTTCCCAGACTTCCCATCCTTGCTTCCACTCTGTGTAGGCTTTCTTTTTGTGTTTCAGTTTGTCCAGGGGCTCGTTGTTTGTACGTGCAGGCTGGTATACCAAAGCCTCTCCATCCTGCAAGGGTGGCTGAAAGTATTGTGAATCAGCTCTTAAGTGCTGCAGTGTCTCGGGCAGGGATGTTAACATAATAAAGAACTTCAGCTATTGCAACCTGCTGATGGCCTGAGCTGCTCCCTTTTGGACCTTGGATCAGAACCCCAGTTTGCCCAGAGTAGCCTGATTTAGATGATGAAGCAATATCGCTACAGAGCTTCCAGGTTTTTGGGGTGAGCAAAAGTTATTTTTGGCCTTCTGTATGTGGACCATGCCTTTTTCTCTGTTACATGAATAAAAACTATGTATTTACTTATTTTCCCCTTTCCTAGAGAAAGCACTTCTGCTGCATTTATAGCATTTGCCCTTTCCTTTTGAATTCTCTTAGTTCATGGTTGTTTTCACGTTTGTTTTTACTTCTCCATCAGCAGTGTTGAATCCTACCTTTTCTACTACGCTTGCCCTGAATGGCTCTATTTCTCCCTTGAATTCTTTTTCTGGCCTCAAAGTTATTTGCCTGTGTTTACAGGGAGAGTAGATATGTATGTAAATGGAATTGTCTTTGCCATGGCAATATGATCTTCAAAGGCTTGGACTGCAGTCACTTTGCTGCATTCTTTACATAAAATGTTTGTCTTGGGAAGTTGCTGCCAACAGAGCTCTGCAAGGGCCCAATCCTGCTAATTGCCTTCTGCTTCCACTGAACTGGTGGGGCTTATATGCAAAAAAAACCCAACAAAAACCAACCAACCAAACAAACAAAAACCCAAACATGAACTTTCAAATTAGTTATGTGTTCTTTATGCTGTTATGTCCAGTTATGTCCATGTTCTGCCATTTTGTCCTTCCTTTACTGATGTGATCTGGAAGTGATCATTGATTCCTAACTTTTCTTGGCCATTTGGTGTGTGTTAAAATACAGGAGTCTGTAGCAATGGAGGAGGGTAGCTAAGTTCCAGTCCAGGGTGGTTTAGGAGAGGTCTGCTTTTATGAAGGCAATCCACAGGGAGTCCTGAGTACGAGGCATCACTACGTCTTTTTGTACCTACTTTCTATCTTCTCCAGCAAAGCTGATCAGTGTATGCTGTGGGCTGCAAAATCATGAGCTGTTGTGGGTAAGGAAGTTGCACACACCAGGGCTGGGGAGAGGATGTGTAATGTGAGCAAAGCAGGAAAAGAGTACATCAGTATCGTGTGTCATCAGTTTGTGTTACAAGCCCCACCACAAAATTCTCAATGGAATGGACTTATGCCTTCCACCAGAGTGGATCTGAGAGGTGATAAAGTGAACACACACATGATTCTGTTGCAGCGTCCCTTAATCTAAAACCCTTTCTGTGTTCGAATACTTTCCTGATCTTGGGACTGTGGGAGATGGAAAAGAACTTCCTGCTACTGCCCTTAGGTCCCATCCTGGTCTTCCAGTAAGAGGTCACATACTGGGAGTTACCCAGGCTCCCAGCCCTCTGGGTGCTTGCTTACAGCATGACCCCTCAAACCTTAGCTGGAAGAACTGCAAGGGAGGAACAGTGGCATAGGGTGGAGACAGACAATTCGAAAGCCTTTTTTGTAGCTGTCAGATGTTTGTATGCTATACTGTCTTACAAATATAGCATCTATTCATTAGGGGGTATTAATTGGTATAGTCATAAGTGCTGCTCTCCATTTGCTCTGGAAACTGAGAGAGAAGCCATTTTTATCTGTTGAAGTATAAACTTCTGTAACAGTGGGGGGTGTTCTCAAAATCCCACTTACCACAGTCAGCTGGCCCCATTTGTTTTCCTGCTGGAACATATGTGGAGTACTGTGGTTTACCCAGTGCTCAAAGTAGTCTAGCTGTTTAAGGTAAAAATCAGAATTGTTTATTTAGAAGCTGTTTTTGATGTCACAAAAGTGATATCAAAAGATATTTTAAAAAAAGTAAATCTGCGAGATGCCTGCCATGTGGATAGTTTAGCATTTACGTTATTGTGGAACGCTGAGATGTGGCTCTGAATTAGTTGTGTGTTTTTCTCAAGTCAAGAACATTGCAACCAATTGCAAGAACAGGGAGAATTTCAGTAAGGGGAAAGTGTGTTAATTATCTATTCAAGATGTTCACACTTGCTGCAGTGTTTCATGTGTTTTCATATCTGCTGAAGCAAAGCAAAAAAAGTGGTGTGCTGGGGCAGTGTGCATGCATGGCTTAGAGCTGAATAGATGTAAATGGTTAAAAAGGGGTTCTCTGCTAGAGAGGAGGAGGGGAAAGTAAGAGTGCATTCCCAAAAAAGTACATTCCCAAAATAAAAAGCTTACATCATGGACCTCTTCAGTTTTCCCACACTTCGTTCCTAATTATTGTCCTGCAGGACAGCTGATCTGTTTCAAACAGGAAGCTGTTTACAGATAACACTTGCAACTGTTTTGTCTGATTTGTTGAACTGTCGAAAAGCAAAAGACAACCTCTTTTCAAATTAAAAACTGTCAGACTTCTGTAAACAGCAGCAATGAGGTTCATCTGTGCAGTGTCCCTGCAGGCACAGAGCATTCTGCAGTTCCCATTTTCTCAGCAGCCATAAGGTAAGAGACTTTCATGCTTTCATTCTATAGAAGCAAGTAGAGGAAAAAGTCTGGATGTTTGTTAGGGGGCTGCCTTATATAAGACAAAATATGACTGACAATCCCCAAATAGTAAGGGAAGGTAAGGAAAATAAGAGCTTAATATCTATTGGGTAACACTAGACCTTTCTATTGTGAAGCTCCCATGTGGGTTAGATCACTGAATTCCTGTTTAGTTTAGGGGGGGCTGTATTTAAAATGTACAAATGCCATTGGAAGAGCTCATTTTCTTTTTAGCAGGGAAGGACAAAACAGTTTATGAATTTTAATTTTTTTCTACAACTGAAACTTATTTTAGTTTATTAATAGGTTGTAATTCCTGGTAACAGATATAGGCGATTGTCTGTTTTCTACTTTAAAAAGTGATCTTTTAATATAACTGCAAAGCAGGGAATGAAGACTGGCATTGCAGAATTGAAACATATGAGAGAAGGTCCAGTAAGAGCTGGAATTACACCACTGGATAATTAAGAGCAATCTCAATGAAAACCAAATCATGTTGGAAGTAGTACTACACAGAAATGCTTAATGATATATAAGGACATATAGAGATAAAAAATCTCGATCTAAATGAGCAGGAATATGAGAATAAACCATACTTCAGTAAGCAGAAGGGCCCGTGTCTGCTTTTCAGTCATGAGCTTTGAAAAATAGAGGTTTGTAAGGGATTTGTGACTTTCCATTCTGACCTCTGTGCGTACATGCATATGTGCTCAGTATTGGGAGTGAAATTGTGAAGGGGGATTGTTTTCTAGCAAAATCAAATAGATGTGGAGAATTTTACCCCACTTTACTTGCCATATAGTGAAACAGAGCAACTGGACTGGAAATGCTACAACTTTGACCCTTGGGTATTGAAAGATTTTTAAAATATGGCAAATGTAAAAACTGTTGTCCTATGTTTTCCTCTCAGTAGCTGAGATCTTTTATATTTCATATCTATATAATCATTTACATGATCATGAACATTTAAGGCATTATAGTGATCAGAAAATACAATACAAACACTGATTTAAAGATCTCATAAGAATGATATTATCCCTAAAATTTTAGTATGTTACTTGTGCGGCATTGGTAAGGTATGCTGATGTTGTAGACAAGAAGTTAGACTTCCAAGTTTAGTATTCCTTTTAAAAATGTTTGGACTGTCTTTCAAAAAATTCTTAGATGTATCTGTTAAAATTAAATTATTGTTTGAATTAATATATGAAAGAAAATATGTAACTTAAATTCATAGGCAGAACGGCATTTTAAGCGTGGCGTAGTCCTAGAGTCAGAGAATTGCAGTGTGGAAGCAGCAGAAATCTCCTCTGTAATTTGTAACTGTACATTATGTTCAAGGCTATTTTCTCTGATTACTTTTGAGCGATTTTACGCTGTTTCTAAAGTTCTTATTTAGTCATCTTTAGGGCTGTCCAAAAACTCTTGAGCCAGAATCCTTTTGAAGTAGGAAGACTTTTGGCAAAGTAGCTTTTTAAAGTAAAGTGTCAGTTCTCTGGGATAATTTACTTCTTTTGTCAAATTATTTTGGCTGAAAACCAGGAGAGTTTAGCCAAAAATATTCTCATGGTTTCTCTGGGGAAGTGTAGTTTGTGCTTTGCACTGCATTTCACTACTGGCTGAACTTCGTAGCTGAACCACGCTTCCCATACAACTGCGTGGTCAGGGTCTTGCTATTTTAATTTCCCTTGATGAAAGGAGTGTTAAGATGTGTTTTGGAAAAGGTAGTCTAGTGAAAGAGGCACAAACTGGGCTCGTAAGGCATCGGCTGGTCAATAACTAGCTGGCAGTTTAAATTTTGACTGCTTCCTTCTGTTTTGCAGTTGAGCCACAGACCATCCTGGTTTTCAGCCATGAGAGTAGGACCCTTCAAAACAATGTGATGTCAGTTGAAGGTTTAAAGCCTTTTGATGTTTTTATACATGCGAACAACTGTACAAGGAAGAGAATATTTAATAATGTTTCTAAGGCTATGTTAGTGCTTCTGCCAAGTTTTGTTCTAAATGTGCTCCATTTTATGTATTTGGAACTGAAAAATGCAAAGGAGTATGGCTGGATTTGAAGATCTTTTAAGAACTCTGAAGTTAAGAGGCAAACAACCTAATAGCAGCCTGTAGCTTTAGAAAGAGACGGTTTTGAAAATCCAACAAGGTCTCATCTCGCCCATCTAAGTGCCTCTTCAGAAAAATCTAGTCCTGGGTGATTTGCCTCTAGTTGTATAAGATGACTGTAAGCGAGAAAAGAATGAAAATTGATCTGCTCAAGTTCTTCATTAGTGCACCAATCTCTTACTTGTTCATTAGGATCCAAGGATCCTTAGCTGCTAGGACTGTTTGGATGCTGCTGCCTCAAAACTGTATCAGAAGACTGGTTAGGAGGTCCATAGGGTGTCCTGGAGGCCAGGACAGAGAATAAGACAGATGATGAGGAGTTTTAGGGTTTACATTGGTTTCCTTCTGCAACGAAGCATAGAATGGTTTGGGTTGGAAGGGACATTAAAAAATCATTTAGTCCAGTAGTAAAGCACATGAATGAAACATAGACATGAGCAAACAGTTTCACAGTGCTGCAAGGTAGATACCAGGCTCCAGACCAAGAATCAGCAACGATATTTAGCTGCTGTATGGAGTGGAGTGAATGGAGGAGACCTAAGTGCTGAAGAAAGTGACTCACCACAGACAGCCATGTGTGTGAGGGCCACAGCAGCTGTCTGAAAACTGCTTGTGAGAGGTGCTTCACGATTCCCTCTGTTGGATGTAGGAGTGGATACATTCACTATCTCTAGTGCCAAGTGCCTGGAGGAACTCAAGTTCCAGGAGGTGGAAGCTTGCCTTGAATGTGTGTGCCTAGTTTTCCTTCAAGCATGGAGGCTTTGAAAAATGGCTCTGAGAAAAGAGTTTTCTACAGTTCTCTTTGAAAAATGGACTGCTGCTACCAGCTGTCATTTAATAACCTACTATCCTGGACCACTTACCTTGGAAGCAGGAGATATAGATGCAGCTCATTGCACTGCTTCCCTACCTCCCATTCGCTGAAAAGGTGCCCTTGTCCCTAACCAACATTGTAATTTGGAAATGGGACTACAGTGGTTTGTGTCCACAGCTCCCAGGACAGTTTCTAATTGTTGATACTGCTTTGAGTTTATACAGGAAAAAAATTTAAAGTCTAAACAGCCAAGGAAGTCTATTCCTTTGGCATGAAGACTTGCATAAGAAGCTAGCCTGCAAGAGAGAGGCATCTCCCCACGGTGTTTTAGAAGGGAACGGCAGTGTTTTCTATCCTTCCTGTTTATGATGTGCTTAGAGGAGACTGAATGAATTTGGATATGTTTCCTTGATGGGCATAAATGGACTAGGTGGGAGAATAGTGTCTTATTCTCTTCAGGCAAGATGTTGACCATCCCTGGTCTGTGCAGTGAGAAAAGCTTAGGCACTCAAGTTTCCCAAAAAAACCACAGGAACCTCCTGCCTCTTAAGGTAGCTGAATTGCTAGGATATGTTTTTGGATGCTTTGAACTTGGGATGAGGCCACGGATACAGATTCAGGGGTAGTGTTGACTTAAGCAGTTCTCATCTAGAGGTTTAGGTGTGAAGAATGTGGGCAAAAGATGGAGAGCAGAAAGAGAAACTGCTTCAGCTTCGGCTGGTTTCTGAGTAGGGATCTTGAATAAAACTGTGTCCATAGATGTGCTTAGGTTCCTGGTGCCTGTCTTTGTTCTAAATTGTGGCTCAGTCTGTGATTATTTTCTTTTTGTCCTGCTTGCTAGCTGCAGAATAAGTGTAAATAATAACAAGAAAACATTCCTACAGACACCACTCTTAGATTTTCAGTTTAATTTGAGTGAATATCAGGCTTAGTTGTGGATCACCCCGAAATCTCTTGTTATGGTGCTGATGATTTTAGCAGATACTGAAACTTATTGATAATAGGCATGCATTTATGCATTTTTAGTGGACTCTTTAGAAATGGTCTATGGGCCTTCAAGAGACCATGGATGAGACCATGGATCAGATGTAGATTTGATCTCCATCTGGTCTGAATACCAGGGTCAGTCTACTCATTTGGAAGGACAAAACAGTATAAGTGATTTTATAATTTTTATTCTATTGGTAAGTAGAATTTTTGATTATCATCAGAGAAAGATTTGTAAGAAGTCATCTAATTTTTGGAAATTAAAACAAGGAGCTTTAAAAAATTAATATGTGAAAGATCTGGAAATGTTAGATGGCACAGTAATTATGGCCAATCAAGATAAAAACATCAGACAAGAGTGTAGTGAAGGCCTAGCCCAGGGAACAGCCAAAAATGTCTTATTACATAGGAAAAGAAAAATGCATCTCAATGAGCTTCCTTGTCAGAATGGTGTTAATGGGAAAACAGGTCTTTGATGGCTCACTAGAGTGGATTGACGTTCAGGAAATGTTAAGGAAACAGATACTGAGAACATGTGGCAGAGTAAGAGAAGGGCTCATCATGAGCGCTGGGGAGACTTCAGGGTAATGAATCTGTCAGCTGCACCCAGAGATGCATTTGCAGTGCAGTGAACTTGAAGTTTAAAGCTAATGTAGAGATAAAATGAGATGATGTAACAAGAGCTGTGTTATGAGCTGCAGCTGAAAAATCTCTTTATTGGAGGTTTTCTTCTTTTCCTGTTCAATATTATCACAAATTGGGTTTGTTCTACCTGGAGAAGGAAGGCTTTGGGATGATCTAATTGCAACCTCCTAGGACCTGAAGGGAGCCATCAAGAAAGATGTGGAGAGACTTTTTACAAGGGCATATAGTGATAAGACAGGGGGGAAAGGGCTTCAAACTGAAAGAAAGTAGGTTTAGATTAGATATTAAGAAAAAATTCTTTACTGTGAGGGTGGTGAGGCATTGGAATAGGTTGCCCACAGAAGTTGTGGATATCCCATTCCTGTAAGTGTTCAAGGCTAAGTTAGACAGAGCTCTGAGCAACC